GAATCGTTTTGTGCTTAGAGTGTTGTGCCATTCTCCACATTTGTGCAAAAAAGGGAATTTGTTCTTTCAAAAACTGCAGGGTTCAACCTAGGTCATGTGAGAACAGTAAAATCAGGATCTATCTGAAGCTATATAGGTTCCGGACTACCAAACAAAAGCAAAAGAGGAAAATATCGGGTATCTGAGTGTGCTTCAACTTCGAAAAACTTCGTGATTGTGCTCCGGATGTACCTCTTCAGGCCTTGTCAGTGCTCCGAAGAATGAGTGTGCCTCTACTCCAAGCTTAAGCCTGCTTCAAGTCAGAATGGCAATTAAAGCAGCAGCAGATGTTATCTCTCGCCAATGTAAAACAGGGTGTCCCTTTTTCGAGCAGAGTTGTGTTGCCAAGTCCTCCGAAAGGTAAATCGAAGGCACCAAAGTACGTGTTTGATGCCCTTCCATTGCATAGAATGTGAACTTTCATATACACTTCGGTTGCATGCGTGCCGTGCATCGTTATGTTTCTGCATAGAATATGCTTTCAATGTTGCATAGAATTTCCCAAAATAAAATATTTAAGTGGCGACTCTGTATCTGGCAAAGCAGTCCATGTTTGGCACTTCTTTCAAAATCTGTTTTCTCAAAACGATTTGCCGGATTTGGACTCTTCGATTCAAGATTTAGAACCGTGACAATTTGAGAGTCTGAACTGTAGTGAGCCCAATATCGAACGGAACAGGGGACTCGTTCCTCCCCGGGGCGTTCGGGGACGTCTACAGCTTAGAATCTGGCCAAATAACTTAATGCGATAATAACTCATCATTAAAACCCTTTTTGAAATTCATGATGAATACACATTTTGATGTTGTATCAATAACACATAAAACCACTCACATACTTCATAAATGATACACATTTTAGTGCTGTATCAATAAAACATAAACACTTCCATACTTCACAAATGATACACATTTTAGTGCTGTATCAATGGAGGCCATCCTCTATCTCCTCCCAAACAATATCCGGTTTAGAGATACATCCTCTATCTTCCCTAAACCGTGGAGTACATCCCCTATCCACTCCCAGCTATAAACCGGTTTAGGAGTACATCCCCTATCTTCACTAAATCGTGGAGTACATCCCCTATCCACTCCCACACAATACATTGTATCTAAACACATATCATATACATAGTCAATCAATACATAAATTTGATGTATTATTCCAACCGTTATATTCGATGACATTTCCAATTGATTAGTTTTATTTCACCTAATCATCATGCATTGTCTACAACAATCAAGACTATTCTCCACCGATAGCTCAAATAATTATTTCTAAACAGATAATAAATGCACCAAATGAATAAAATATCAACATTTTGTCTAGGTGAGCGATAAATTAATCCAACTACACCCTTTAATCCCATACCTTTCCAATTTGAATATTTCCTATTCAATTTCTCATTTCCCAAAATTAATTATACGAATTAATTTATCAACAATTAGGGCTTTTTCCCATAATCTCAATACCAACCCTAAGGTTCCACTTTCGTCAATAGACCAATATATAACTCCATTTTTCAATGTATTACAAACATATGGGTTTTAAACTTGAAAACCCCTCTTTTAAAAATTACACAAAGACCCCAAACTTTCTCAAAATTACCCAACCCCCAACATATCAAAATGTCAAAATTTAAAGACAAAGCTCATAAGATGGAGTAGGATATCCCTATCTCAAAGTTAGAGCTCAAACGGAGAAGAAGACCAAACTCAAAGTGCTCCAAACTCCAATTTTTTTCAGATCAAAACGAAGCCCTCGGCGATCAACACACTTTTTACAAAGGCCAAAGGTTAGGAAAACACTCTAGCTAGATCAAATCCTAGAGAGAAGGGAGATTCTAGAGAGAGGAGCTCTCAAAATCGTTTTTGGGAAAGTAAGAGAGAGAGTGAAAGTGTAAAAATGATTCAAAAAGTGCCCAGTTGATATCTCTTATACGACTGGTCCGCTCGAGCGGAGAACAGGACGCTCGAGCATCAAGCACAAGAAACTAGACCCGCTCGAGCGCAAGAAGACCCACTCGAGCATCAGACACAAAAATGAAATATATCCGCTCGAGCGCGAAAACCAGTCCGCTCGAGCGTAGATTCTCCCCTCCCAGTATTTTCACAAAAAATGAACACTCCGCTCGAGCGCTACCTGCTCGAGCGTAAGGAAACCCGCTCGAGCGTGAAAATCATGTTTGCAGAAGTTTTGCAGAGTCACAGATACTGGAAGTGTGAAAATTCCGCTCGAGCGCAAAGGGACTCGCTCGAGCGTACCAACAACAAAAGCAAACTCCGCTCGAGCGCAAAAGGACCCGCTCGAGCGCACCACCAATAGTCTGGGCAACAAGGAATGAGACCAAGGCCCAACCAACCTATTCGAAACGCGCCCAACACATCCTAAAACTCAAACATAGGGAATTAAAGGATGACAACAATATATAACCAACAACCAACTCCACGGAACCTAAGTCCGGAATATAGTAAACAAGGAGAGGAAAATCGGGATCGCTATACTGTTAATGTCATTACTACTTGTAAACTAATGAAGCATGCTAATAAAGGTATAACAGAGAATGAAGTCATCTTTCATCAAATGCTGGAGAAGCAAATCACAGATCCCCTTCAATTCAATAGTCATATTCATAAATCTCCAAAAATAGGCATCAAAATTCAGAACCCATATGTTAAATAAAGAAATTAGTGTCATTAACATGATTGATTGAAATCTAAAATTAGATAGTGCACTTTCTTTTCATGGACTAAGGCAGGATGTGCATTCAGAATAAATACACAATTATCAAGGATGGTGAATTATGTAATTAGTTTTACATTTGGCTGTTCTAGGAATTCTTGGTTCTACCCTTGTTTCTATTGAAGTCTCAGAGTTAGCAAACAATTAGCAAGCTACCAACCGAGAGACAAAAAGTGGAAATTCTATGTTAACACAAATGGCCCAACACAATGTAAAATCACAATCTAAGTTAACCACGTGTAAGGATTCCCACATGAAATTGTGTGGGTTTCTTAATAAACATATATAGCACAACAGGATTTCCTGATTCATTTAGGAAAAGTATCTCTGATAAGAAAGGAATGCTGAATAAATAGGTTTTTATAAGATACCTCCTTGACAGATTACAAAACAAAAGTATGGTTCTGCTACTGGTTTGATGGATCTTTTTGTGGCACAAAGATTGAAAAATGATGGATGATGGAGTTTGTTTTCCAAACCCATGTTTCTGATGATTGAACCATGCAGTCTACATACAGTCTCATATGGAGTTTGTTTTGTTTATTTGCAGAACCATACAGTATGTAGATTACAAAACAAAATGATGGTTCTGCTACTGGTTTTCTTGGAATTTGTTTTCCAAACCCATTTTTTGAAAATATGATTTCACTAAAGTTTTGTTCTCAAACTATGACTTCAATCATAACAATTGAGACTTCTAAAAAGAGCATAACTTGCCGTATCTAAACCAGTTGGAAGGTCTGCAATTGAAGAACCAGCACGTTTAGATATTTTCACAGCTTCAATGCTTTTAGTAACAGAACCAACTTCAATCGCCTAAAAAATCATAAAAACACTTCACATGAATATGATGAAGATGATACATAATATAAGCATTTTAAATGCACAAGTTTCTTCATTTCCAAGAAGCATGCCTGATATGAACTAAGCATGTCGGATTACAACACTACTTTCTAACATATCATGTCAATTGCACTTTTTTGCCTCAAGCCTAATACCTTATCAAGACTCAGATCATATTTTTGCCACTGCTATGCAAAAAGTAGATACAAGGTTTCTTATAATTAATAAATAAAATGAAATGAAATGAAGAAAAAGAATTAAATTCTAAGATCATCAAATTTAGTTTTACTTTTTTAGAGCATAAATGAATTATGCTTTAAATCACATGATTTACACTATGAAAGAACTGTCCAAGTAGAAAAAAACTAGTGGGTTTTTCATAGAGTATTGCCAACAACTAGATAGAAGCGAGGCAAACATGAAAACAATGAAAGGACAGTAAAATGGGTAGTTTCTCAGGCCTAAGGCTATTCAACAGTCCAAGAAGTTGACCAGCAACTCTGTGCTAGTTACATTGCAGAATAAAGGATTCAACCCAACAGGCCATGATCTTTGATGGGTCTGATCATAGGCTTGTTTGATGGGTCTGACCAAGTGATGCAGATTATTCTAGCTAATCGATCCATTAGATACATGGGAAGATGAAGTAAAACTTATAGATGAAGATGGTTCAACAGAATTAGCCATTAATCAACGTCCTCCTCTTGAGCCTTATATAATATCAATCAAAATCAACATAAGAAAATTATGAGTAAATGAGTAGAATCTATAGATCCCCATATGGGAAATTCAAGTACCTAATGACGAAGATATGGCTCAAACAATTCCTCATGACAATGACCCACAAAGAAATCTTAGAAAATTCAAAACAGTTCTCAATCACAATTAGATTTCCCTGATTCGACAAGGAGAATAACTTTGATATTGAGTGATATGTAGGAGTTGAATTGGAGTGCAACTACTCTGCATTTATAGCTGCCGGGTGGAACTTTGTACCCATTATCTTTGATCTTTGAAAATGGAACACATACAGTAAACATATTTTAACAAAGTCCTCCAGTGAGAACCCATCACAAGCATCAGCACTTCAAAGATTGCAATATTATTACACATCAACATAGAACTCAAAGATGTTAATATTCAAACATATATCTATGTATATAGACACATAAGAGCGGAACAAATGAGAATTAAGTTACCGACACTAAACAAATAGTCGATTTAATCAAACTTCTATATAATCTCTAACTTCTATATAAACAAATAAATAATCACCTACAAAATCAAAGAGGTCTCAAATGCATGCTATATGAAAGCAAGTAAAACCATTTTGGGAACTTGAATAAACAGTGAGCAACGGTGGTACAAATAATAACCTAGATGTTATAATCATCTCTCTCTGTAATTTGCTGCAGGAGCTGCTGGTTTTGAGCTTGCATATCATCATATGCCTGACCAATGGTCTGAAGAGAAACAACTGATAATCTCAGGCCTTATTTAAAATTACATGAAGAGAAACAATACCAATAACCTCAGGCCTACTTCACAAACACATTGAAGACAAAATGCTCTCACATATAACAGAGCAGGAACCTAACCTCTATTTTAGATATGTAGGCTTCATTTTCCTCATGTTTGGATTTCAGGATATCTGAAAGCCTAGACTTTTCCCTGAAATAGCATAGATAAAAAAATGTCTACAGGTTTCTTATAAATAAATAAATATATCATACTGGAGAGAACAAACAAAAAAAAAAACAAAATAAAGGATTGCAATCATGTGTAGCACCCATATAAAATGAACTAAACAATGCCAATGCTCAGCATCCATATGAACTTAAGTTAGTACCAAGAGGGTATTATAGATGAAACAATTGACATATCAAACTGTACCATAAAATAACCGAACAAATCAATTATAGTTTCGCTAAAGAACCATAGACCTAGCACACCTTTGATTGAACTAGCGCAATAGTGGAAGAATCCACATAGAAACGATGCTATAAAGAATTCACATGCATTTCAAATGTAATTTAATAAAAGTAGATTATGACAGCTGCCTTCTACAAGGCTGTCATAATGACATTTCAAATACATCATTGAAATATGAAATAAACCTTTTAGAAGCTTCCAATTTTTGTCTCAAGTCAGCAATCTTAGCTTCTGCAACGGCTAGCCTTTGCTGTGAGATGGCCTCAGCTCCAATTATGTTTTAACCTGCAATTCCAGAGTTTGCTCATCAAGAGAAGGTTTGAACATGAGCCCATGCCTTGTATTCAAAATCCCTAGCTTCAATGACATCCCTACAATTGCAAAATTGAAATATAAGCAACCTACGTACATGTACTGAATTCAGAAAACCAACATTGAAAACCTAAGCAAGAATACACCAGGTATGGCAGAGCTAGGATTTCGCTACAGGGGGGAAGCATTGAGTTAAAGTCATGGCAAGTTCTATCACAATGTAATACATTTCAATTTTCAATTGGTAGTAAAACAACTAAAGATAAGCCTGATGTCAAAGTTATATGTTTAAAGTTATGCTCAAGTTAACCGATTTTTTTTTATTTGTTTTTGTTGATTTTTCATTATCTCTCTTCCCTCTTTTCCTTCTTTTATTCTCTTCTCTTCATTCAGCAAATACATACACACACTTTTAAATTAATAATTTCTATAATGGAACTTCAGTTCCAAAAGTAGCAAAGAGAAGGTTTCTCAAGTGCCGAACAGAGCAGCAGCACATTCAAAAACAGAGGTGGCAACAACAACAACAAAAGCAAGTTTGTTGGGGTGAGACAAAGGCCTTCTAGGAAATAGGTAGCAGAGATCAAGAGAACAATTCAGAAGCTTAGGTGTTGGAGGGTTGTTGTCTGAACTTAAATCTCTTAATTATAAAGATTTTATCTAGTTTACCAATAAATTATGAAGGAAAACTAAGATCATTAGCGACAAGATACAAATAATCATCATTTATTTTCCTTTCCCCCCCCCCACCCAAAAAAAACTAAAAATAAATAAATAAATAAAATTAAATAAATTAAATAATACATATGATCATCACTCATGTGCGAAGTTCATAAAACTCATTCTAAAATCCTTAGAATATGACTGCATTTCAGATTAAAATTAAGGACCACTAATTTGATTTAAAAGAGTCAACACAAAGTGCATTTTAGGTGCAAAATTTGAATTGTTAGATGTCCTAAGCTCCTAGTAAGAAGCAAAAAACAATTCCATTTGTTCTTATTTATTAACATGAGCTGTTATGTTTCTCAAGGGCTTAGGCAAGTCTGAAAGAGATCTGACACAGCACCGAAAAAAAGAGAAGAAAAATAGGTAACCAATTAACCATCTTTCACATGAAATTAGATATGCAAGCAACCTAGGAAGCACGGGTGCGGGTATGAGTACGGTACGGGTACGGGTACGGGTACGAGTACAGATACGCCGATACGACAAAACTCTAAAAAAAGTATGATACGAGTACGGCTGCGGTACGCCGATATTTTTTTTTATAATTATGGTTAAAGGATCTAACCTACAAATTAAAATTAAATATCAAAACTAAAAAGAGAACTACAAACTAAAAGACAAATCGTTCTTTTTGCTCATCAAATATTTAAATAACAATTTGGACAGATCTAATATATTGCATTTATTGAATAAAATATATATTTCAGTGACAAGTGTGACAAGAACAAGAACACTACAACACCTTTCAATCTAATTCCCATATTGACCTACAAAGTATCCCTCAATTTTAGTTCATGAAAGACAATGAAACAACAACCAATCATATCCACCTACAACATCAAGTATTGCAAGAAAATTAACCAATGTGGAAACAGACAGATAACTTAACTCAAAACCAATGGTTATGCATCACAAATTAATGCTTTGCTTTTCAGTCCAAGAGGGTATTACAGATGAAACAATTGACATATCAAACTGTACCATAAAATAGATCTTAGTTCAACAAATCTGGACAGATTTTAGTTCAAAAATCTGGACATATATCAGAAAATAAATAAATAAATTAGGACAGATCTTAGTTCAACAAATCTGGACAGATTTTAGTTCAAAAATCTGTCCAGATTTTATTAGAAAAAAAGAAAAAAGAAAAAAAGAGAGAGTTAAAGAAAAATGAAGAAGAAGATGAAAGATCAAAGAAAGAGAAAACCAAAGAGAAGAGAAGAATCGATCGTTTGCAGTGAAGAAACAACACAAAAATCTGGAAAAAAAAATGAAAGAAAGAGGATAAAGAATCGAAGAAGAAAAGGGAAAAGAGTCGAAGATGAATTTACCTCTTCAATCGCACCTTCGAAGGAGAGAATCAATCAGCAGCACCTTCGATTAAACCTTTCAATCGCACCTTCGAAGTGTTCTTCAGACTCTCTTGGGAGTATTTCTGGAAGGAGATGATCGAATAGACATGGAACCCTAGCACCTTCGAAGTTCTTCAGTCTTGGAGTATTTCGGAATGAGATATGGAAGCAGCAGAGATGATCGAATGAACCCTAATTTTATTTGGTTTCATGTTTTATTTATTACAAAACAACCCCAGATTTTTATAATTCAATAAACTAGACACAAAAAATTGCTCTGGTACTCTTTAATTTATAAAAAATCTCATTTTTTACCCCGGAGTACCCAAAAACGTACCCATGACGTACCCATCAGTATACTGACCGTATAAAACATACCCGGTGCGTTTTTGGCGTACCCGGTACGCATGCAGTCGTATCGGTATGCGTACCCATACCCGGTAAATACCCGCTACTTGTACGATAACATTTTTGGAGTGCCCGTACTTCATAGCAAGCAACAATATATACCGAATTAATCGAATGATGAAATTGATTCAAAATCAAATCAAAATCAAAGAGAAATGAGAAATGAAAACGCTAGAAATCAAAATCAAAATCAAAACCCTAGAAATCAAGTCAAAATCAAAGAGAGATGAGAGAGGAAAAAATGAATTAATCAAATGGAAACTGAATAAGTTAGAAACTCACAAAGAAAATCAAATCCATGGAAGAAGCTCAGAGTGTTTCTTGCCAGTGGCAATACCAACATCGCAGGTGAAGGACTTTTCGAAGCGATGTTGGTTGGGGTGATGAGAGAGAGGCCTTCGAAGACGGTGACCATAAGAAACACTCTACCCCTAATAGTATTGAACGCACTCCATCTCCATCTCCTTCTCCCTCCATCTCTCTTTCTCTCTCTCTTATGTGTCTTGTGATGAACCCTAGCCTACTACTTTCGTTTTAATTAGAAGTAGCCAAAAGTAATGTATTTTGAAAATTTTTTTTTTTTGGGTAATTAGAAGGTGTAATTAAAAAATATATAAATAATCACACTTTAATTAGAATGTGTGATTAAAATATATATATATATATATATAATCACACTTAATTGAAAAGTGACATAAAAAATAAATATTATTACAGTCAATCAAATTAAGTGTGATTAAAATATCAATTTAATTTTTTTTATCATACTTTTAATAAAAGTGAGATAATTTTTTTTATCAAAATATGATCTTTAACTATTTTTGTAATAGTGTCATGGCTCCGTAGAAAAAAAAAATTTGTGCGCATAGATATATCCAACAAAATCGTGTTCACTCATGAAACAAAAACAAAAACAAAGACAAAGATACAAAAACGTGTTAGGCATGGTAAACAACATTTGAAATGAACTGGCGTTCATATGGCCTTCACATCAACAATAAGAAGATTCTTACCTGTTCTTATACAATCAAATCAAAAACCTAATTTCAAAAATCATTAATTTCGAAATTGAAAATCCTAAATCAAAATTTAAAATCCTAATTTCTGGAAAACAAACCTCAATGTGGACGATGAGAGAGAGAGGTGTGATGATGTTTGCTGGTCTTCTTGGTAGTGGTCTTCGTTTTTACGGTGGCATTCGTCTTTTCCGCGTTATCAAAATGCTCTTTGGATCTTCGTCTTCTTCGCGTTATTAGATTGCATTGTTAATATTCATCATCTCATTCTCTAGTTATCAAATTGTTTACCGATGTCAATTAAACATATTCTTAATCAAAATCAAAACTCTAATTTTTAAAAATTCTAATTTTGAAATTGAAAATCTCCAAATCAAAAATTTAAATCATAATTTTTGCAAAACAAACTTAAATTTGGATAATGGAAGGGAGATGTGCGAAGCCCTGGCGTGATAGAGGAGGGACAACTATGGCGTGATAGATGGGTGGGACAGCAACATGTGCTGGTCGCGTTGGTGTAACAATAGTTTTACATAAATTGTTTTGAATTAATTAAGAATTAGTTCACACTCAATTAAAATCCGCTTTTGAAAAGTCATTTTTCTATGTAAATTTTTTATTATTATTTTAATTGTAGAACACAGTTTTTGAAAAGTCGATTGTCAGAACATGACTTTCCCAATGCTGTTTTATCCTCTAATGAAAAGAAAAAAAAAAAAAAAAAAAAAAAAAAGGGAAGGAGGATAAAAACACTCCTTAGAATGGGAATAAAGTTGTGCATTAATATAATTATATCAAATTTATTATATATTTTTTTTAAATACTATTAGAGACGTAAGTGTAAATTTATCTTAATTTTATATTAGTAAAGTAAGGATTCTTTAAAAAAAAAAATTCTTAAAATTTTTTAAAGTGATATATTGTGTGATTGAGATTTAATAACAAGTCACATTAAATTTAAACCACATAATACATCACTTTAAAAAATTTAAAAAAAAAAAAATTTTAGAGGATCCTAAGTACAGTACGTGGTACAGGAGGGACATTTGGAAGGCCGTGCACCACTCGGAACTTGAACCAAATATCTGTTCCAGCCAATGGTTTGTCTTCCTCCCATTATCCGAAATCCTTTTACCCCTCCATATTTGAGAAATTCATATCTTTCCCATTAAAATATTTTAAGCAAAACGAATGCGATATATGTACGGGTAAAAAAAAAAAACACATTCCTTCAATCAATTGCCACAAACCAAAGTCCTTAGTCCGACCGTCATCACTCGGTTATAATCCCTGTGACTCTCTCTCTCTCTCTCTCTCTCTCTCTCTCTACCAGCTTACTCTGTGTTCACCAGCTTACTCTGTTTTTTTTTCTTCCAATCAATCAGGTACGCCATTAGTTCATTTTAAGGCCTCTTCTCTAGTGGAGAAGCTATTCATTATAAATTCATCTCTCTTTTCTGGTTGGATTAAATGGAGTTCTATCTATCAAACAAAAAAATTGAATGAAATAGAATTCTATTATTATTATTAGTTATTTTTATTTTTTACGGTCCAGTTTGCTATCTGATCCGGGAAGATGTCGTTTAGCAATTCAATAACGGCTTTTTTATTATTATTATTTTTTTAATGTTCTTTTTTTTTTTTTTTTTTTTTTTTCTTTCTTTTGGCTTCACGATTGTTTCTGTTGGTCGCGTTGCCTCTGTGTTAGTGTTTTTTTTTTCCTCCATGTATGGTATGTATATATTATATTATGATTTAAGACGATTTTGCTCTCAAAATGGTTTTCCTCTCAACTCTATATGCGAATTATAAACAAACATGCAGATAAAATAAAAGTTAAATAATTTAATTAATTTATTAATAGTTTCAAGCTTGACATCATAACTGATATGCAAAAGAAAATGTCTTGGTGACTGTTTTTATCATTTGTAGGTTGTTTGTCACTTGTTTCTGCATTTTCGTTCACATTCTTACTTGCTTATCAATAAATAAAATACTAATTGAACTCTCATCTGCCTCTGCCTCTGCCTGCTAGTCTTCTCCCGCTTGATTGTTGCACATTGACCTCTTTTAAATTTACCCAATCCTACTGGTTCTGATATCCTCGTAGGTTGTATCGACTGCTTCAAGTGTTCTTATTGATTTTTACCAGCTTAAAGTTAAAGCTCACTTCTCACGGAATCTGCGTTTGCAAAACCAAATTGGTGGTTGTCCGTTCTGTGTACCATTTTAAACCAAAACTTGTTGACAAGTTGCTTCCTTGAAAAATTAGTCCTTAAAAATTGATTGTTTTGTTTATCTATTTTGGTTCTTTTTAGAAGCCTACGAAAGTGGTCCACGTGATCTATACAGTCATTTTGTCGTGGGCTGATCACTACATTGCGATTAAAAGACTTGTGGCATGTTTTCTATACAGAAACTTTCTAGACACGTGTGATGTTATTGCGCATATATATATACAAGCAAGAGGAAGCCATATGATGGCCGCTGCTGCAGTTATGGGTCTTAGTGCAGGAAAGAGGCTCTTGAGTTCCTCCTTGTATTATTCTGATATCACGGAAAAGCTGTCTTGTTGTAATGATTATGGATTGGCATACCATCATGCTGCTTCAACAAAGAATATTATCACGGCAAAGAAGTCATCCAATAATACTAGCATTTTGTCCTACCAACAGACACAGTCCATCAAAGCTCTTAAAGAACATGTGGATACCGCTTCTGATCATTCAACTGCAGAGTGGTTTTACAGATTGAAGCACCTGGAGGTGGAGGAAAGATCTCATCCTGAATTTTCAGTGGAGGCTCTTCTCTTGTTACAAAAATCTATGCTGGAAAAGCAATGGAATCTTTCAACTGAGGCAGCAGTAGCAACTTATAGAATAAGAGAAAATACCCACAAGAAGGTACAGGTCACTGGTTCAGGGACTTCTGCTCGCAGGAGGAGAACAGATACTAGGAGGAAAGTTCTGAGCCCAAATAGTTCTGTGATGCAACTTGGTAGTACAAGTAAGCAGCTAAGATCCATTATCAGTCCAGAGCTGCTTCAGAACCGTTTGAAAGGTTATGTGAAGGGTGTAATAAGTGAAGACTTGCTCACCCACTCTGAAGTAGTGCACCTATCTAAAATAATAAAATCTGGTCTTTACTTAGAGGAGCAGAAATTAAGGTAATACTTCAGTTTTCTTTGTTATTTATTTGTTATTTTATTTTTATTTTTTGGTTATGTATTTGTTTATTTTGAGTGAATGAACCATTTTGATTCAGTAACTTCTTTTGTTACTTTCAAGGCCCTGACCATGGATGTCACTTTTTTCCCTGTATAAGATGTTTGCTGCAGTTAAACGGAGCCAATATACATAGTTTTGCTCCTCTAGGATAAATGAAATGCAAGAAATTCTTGTTTAGTTATTGCTTTTGCTTAGTTCACTTTTTTCCCTGACTAGCTCTTGTTTAGTTTTGGCTTTTGTTTTGATCTTTTACATTGTTCAAGGACTCCTTGTCCTCTCCCCTTTTCTAGCTTTTGCTTAATAAAATTTTTCGTCACTTTTCAAAAAAAAAAAAAAAAAAAAGAAGAAGGAAGAAAAATGCAAGAAATTCTGTTCATACTTATTTACTTCTTCATCCATTTTTTTGTGAAAGATGACACATTTTTCATGTAAATCTGGTCCTCCCAGTTAATCTTTAGGTCTTCCCTTGCTGTAGTTATTTTGTTTTTGTCTTGCTGTCCTTGTAGTATAAGAGTTACAAGCTATTTGACTGCAGATATAACTCATTTCCTTTGTATTGTATCATTTGCATATCATTCGTTAAAGCTCCATTTGGCGGTGTGTGGCTTCTAATAAAATGCTTTAATTAAGAATTTGTAAAGAAGATATTGTTGCAAAATCTTTGGTACTATTTTGTTTCTGCATGTTGATAAAAGATTTCATTTCCTCCTTTTTTTGCCAAAGCAACTGAATTGCTAACCAAACCAAACTAAGTCTTGTATCCCAATCAATTGAGTCGGCTACATGAACCTTTTTCGCCATTCAGCTCTGTTAAGGGTTATATGCTCAATTAGTGCTTCCCCTCATGTTAGTTTAGATTTTCCCCTCTCCCAAACATTTCCATCTAGTTGTTACTTCACTGATTAGTGCTGTTTTGGTGATTCACCTCTAAAAGAATTTTAAAAATAAAGCCAAAACACTGTAAAGCATTCTTAAGGACTGCAAAAACTCTTCTAATCTAAATGTACCACAGCATCAAATGGAGCCAAAAAAATTTATTAGGGCCGTGCCAACAGAGAAACGGATGTCGGATAGATGGAAATGATTCTGAGTCATTTTTCTTCTTGGTTAGCTATGAGTCATTTTTTACTTTGCTTCCTAAAATATATTCATTTTTATTATTTGGTCCATACTTTTGAAGTGAGACTGTCAAACAGATATATTGATTTCTGTCAGAGAAAAAAAATTATTTTCTTATTGTTTGCATGATTTGTGCTGAATGGGGATTTCAGACTGAAAGAAAGTTTAGGATATGAGCCTTCTGAGGAGCAACTTGCAACTTCCCTGAAGATTTCTCGTGCTGAGTTACAATTGAAACTGATAGAGTGTGCTTTGGCAAGAGAAAAGCTAGCAATGAGTAATGTCCGTCTGGTCATGTCTATTGCACAAAGATATGACAACATGGGTGCTGAAATGGCTGACCTTATTCAGGTGATTGTCTGTCTGTTAGCTTCAAGCTTTGAGATGCCAATATCTTACACTTTCTCTAATCTGTTTAATATAGACCTGTGGATTCCTCTTATACGTGGAATTGCCTTTACACCTCATGTAGGGTGGCCTGATTGGACTGCTCCGGGGAATTGAGAAATTTGATTCTTCCAAGGGATTCAAAATTTCTACTTATGTTTATTGGTGGATACGTCAGGTGAGGTCAACATTTTCCTTTGAAATGTGAACAATTGAGAACATGGCAAAAGGATAGTTGCCATCATCAATAATTTATAGATTCTTTATGATCTTCATTGCATTGGGATGATTATCGTCTTATATCAGGCAAAATTATAGTTTGTAGAATCCAATTTGTAATAACTGGGACAAGCAGCTGCAGAAAGTATTCCAAGTGAGTCTTTTTTTTTTCTTTTTTTGGTAAGTCACAAGTGAGTCTTTGACATCCAAAAGAACTAATGCTTAATTTGGTTCATTGGAATGAGATGGAATGGGATGGAATGGTCATTCCTTAGGCTCTATAATGGAATGGTCATTCCCTTACAATGGTGAATGATGATTCCATTTGTAAAGCATTTTTCATTATTTTTTTAGTCAACCAAACATGGATATGATGATTATTCTGTTCCATTTGATTCCAGTGAACTAAACACTACTTAAGAGCATGGCCATTCAAATGTGAACATGCAGAAATCATTTCAGTTGTGATCATGAAGCAGACCCCACTGTATTCATGCATCTTGAAGGCTATTTGATGTCAGACCCACAATTAAATGACAGGGCACTTGGGTTAATCTTTTCAATTTGTATCCTATTTTGAGAAGGTTGATATGGTTCTAAATTGATTTTTCCTAGTAAGTTACCAGAATTTGAATTATTTACTCCTATATTTGCTTTATTTTAGAAGTTCAGTGCTTTTTTGTGTATGGAAATTAAGCCTTTTTTGGTCATCATGTTGGGATAGGATCGATCAAGTTAGAAGTTTTCTGGGTTAATTTTAGAGCATGCACACAGCATATTGTAGATGATTACAGTAACAACCTATGAGCTCGTCCAAAGGGCTAGCTGAGGAGATCATTTGGAATCATAGTCCCTACTTCTATACAAACTTAAGATGCTGGTCTAAGCACATGCCAACCGCGATCAGGGTCATTAACACTTGCGTGAATAACTTTCTATTAAAAACACATCTTTTATAGATTATGACTTGGATCAGATCAATTCTTCTTTGAATCTTGTGGCTGCCTATGTTTGGCATCCATGTGGCAAGCCACACCGATATTTTGTTTTCCTTGTCTCTTACTTCTCACTTTATTTTCTTTCTCTTTTTTTTTTCTTTCGTATCCTCTTATCTAACTCTTCCCTCTTGCTCTCATTTTCTTCTTATTCTCACTGTAAATTAATTTGATACCTTCACAATTACAAGTCTAAACTTTTTCAAGGAGTTCTTTGCTTTCTATAGTTTTGTCTCTTTCTTCTTTATCTCCTCACAAGAATTTGTGTTTTTCTTCCTTTAAAAACCATTGTCATGTGCATTGCATTAATTTTGGTGCAAGAGGCAAAGATCTTGTGATCTTTAAAGGGGGATCATATTCCACATCTTTCCTTTCACCTGAGATGCAATCTTCTCCTGCAATACTAGTTCATTAATGGAGAATGCTAACATGAATACATCAAGGTTATGTTTTCTGTGGCTGGATGAGTTTATTGCAACCAAACTACTTGTTTTGGATTCCATGAAGGTCTCCAAGTGCATGATATGATCTCCATTCTATGGAAGTTAAAATTAAGAAAGCCCAAGGTAGTTCAAGGTAGAAAGGCCACAATCACTTACTAATTACTGAAAACACCACTTGTATACAATTTGTATCTGTTTTGATTAAACAAACTGTTTTGCCATTCTAAAAAAGAATCTGTGGAATCTCTGTTTAATAGTAGCAGTGATCAAGTAGCTCTTGTGATGTCGTGTATGCTTCCATCATCCACAAAACTTCAAGCTGTCAAATAACTTGAACCCTATTAATCCTCTGTGATTCTTGTGTTCACAAGGTGTATGTGAAACCAAGTGTACTGCAACCTCAATAACTTTTCTGGGAAGACGAGTTTAATGATTTTAGTTTTGACTTTTCTCGGATGAAATACAGAAAATCTGAGTTCCTTGTTATTCAAGAAAACCCCAAAATCATGTCACTTTTGTTTTTATGAAATAAACTGCATATTATTGTAGTTTTTTTTTTTTTATTAATAGATCTTTTGTCTGTGTTTGTAAACTTAGAACAGCTGTCAATTTCTCTTTCATGCAGGGTGTTTCGAGGGCATTAGTTGAGAATTCAAAAACCTTAAGGTTGCCTACCCATTTGCACGAAAGATTAAGTTTAATCCGCAATGCAAAGATGAAACTGAAAGAGAAAGGGATAGCTCCATCCATTGATGTAAGTCTAACTGACAGCTATGTGCTTTAATGACAGTAGCTCATACTTCCCATGTCAACATACCTACATAAATATATGAAAACATGCCTAATCAAGAATCCTGATTTAGCTATGTTATGCTATAGTTCTGTAAACTCGTCTTGTTTCTTTAACTTTTTTTTTCAACTTTTACATTTCAGAGAATTGCAGCATGCCTGAACATGTCCCAAAAGAAAGTCAGGAATGCAACAGAGGTACTAAATATTTTGAGCTCTATATTGTCTCAATAAGTTATTCCAGGGTTCCCTCCATGTGTAATATCTCCTTGCTTAATGTAAAATATCTCTGTTTGCAGGCAATTAATAAGGTCATCTCACTTGATAGGGAAGCATTCCCCTCTTTAAATGGTCTTCCAGGAAAAACACTTCATAGTGTAAGTGTTCATATAGCAATTCAATTATCTCAATTTGAAAATAAACTTTTATTAACACTACTTCCCAAAACAAACTTTTATTAACACTACAATCCCATTTTTCTTTCCTTTTTTTTTATTTTGACTTATGAGATGAAGTTTTTGACTCCTCTTTTTATCTTTCCAGTACATTGCAGATAATCGCCTCGAGATCAACCCATGGCATGGAGTAGACGAGTGGACACTCAAGGTAGTAAGGCAACAAAAGAATTGTTTAATTGTTACAATGTGAACTTTTTATTACAAAAATTTCAGCACTGAACATGAAAAGTAAATTGCCTGCCTCTTTGTCTCCAATGAAAAATGATTAATAAATGGCAATGTGATGCATCAATGATTATCCCCTCATATTATCCAAACCAAACCAAATTAAGTCTTGGTCCCAATCAAGTAGGGTTAGCTACACGAATAATTTTTCACCATTCAACTCTATCAGCTATGTGTTCAGCTAAATTAAATAAATTCATATCGCTTTTTATTACCGCATCCCATGTCAACTTAGATCTTCCCCTCCCCTAACATCTTCATTTATGATGATCCTATCACTCTTCCTTACCATTGCATCTATAGGTCGTCATTGTACATAACCAAACCATCTTAACATGTTCTCTCTCAATTTATCTTCAATAGTTGCTACTCCTACCATTTCATGAATATATTTATTTTTAATTCTATCTTTTCTAGTCTTACCACATCCATCTAAGTATTCTCATCTCAATTACCTTCATTTTATGAACATGTTGTTTCTTTGTTGCTTAAAGTTTGTCTCGTAAAGCATCACTGAGACCATATAGTAGTTCTATAAATTTTTTCTTTCAATTTAGTTGGTATTCGAAGGGCGAACCTAGCGTAGCCGTGAAGTTACCCCTTGGTGACCTGGTGGTCACGGGTTCGAGTCGCAGAAATAGCCTCTCTGTTTGCGAGGGTAAGGCTGCATACATCAACCCTTCTCCAGACCTTGCTTAAGCAAGAGTTTCGTACACTGGGTATGTCCTTAAATTTAGTTGGTATTTGTTGATCACATAATATGCCAAACACACTCCTTTACTTGAGCCAATGTACTTTGATTCTATGAATCACATCATCTCCAACCGCACCATCCTTATTGATAATCGAACCTATATAACGAAAATATTCACTATTTGTTATCTTCTAGTTTTCAATCTTCATTTCTCCATTATTTTCACTTTCGCTATTGATAAAGTTACGGTCCATTATTTCTACTAATTTTAAACCCTTTTGACTCAAGTGCTCCTCTAAATTTCTAATTTAGTGTTAATTCTTTCCTTAGTTTCGTCTACTAGAACAATATCATCAACAAACAACATACATCATGGGATGTGATCATGAATGTGTTTAGCTAATTAATCCATGATTGGGAACTCACATGATCTAATTGTAGTCACAACTCCATTATAAATGTCCTTTTATCGCATCAATCTATCCTTTGGTTACAATGTTTGCCTCTAACACCCACCATAATATATCTCTAGAAACCCTATCATAAGCTTTTTCTAGATCTATAAAAACCATATTTCCCCTCATATTATCCTGCTCAAAATGAAAATTTGATACCCCTAAGTGTTTAAATTATTGTTTGCAACATGCCTTGAGACCTACTCTCATGCCTTGAGGAGAGAGGCTCTCATAAGACTTGTATCTTAAAGCTTGCCTTTGACCTACAACCCACTTTATGCATTCATTAAAAGGTAAAGGCTTTCATCAGAGTCTAGGACTTACAGTATCATTGCACTTTGTACTTCTATCCTGTAAACTTATTCAATGGTATTTTAGTCTTTTGTTGTCAAACATATTTAAAGTTTGCAAAACAATTTTTGTTTTATTCGACATTGTAGATTTGAGAAAACCGATGTTTGGAAGGTAAAGACCACGGGCTCACAAATTCTTTCCAGGGTTGCTGGGGGTTTAGGTTTTCAGATGTACGTAAAATTGTTCAACTCGACTATAATCAAGTTGGTAAATGCAAACATGACCCAATCATAATTGGATCAACTATAATCGGCCTGGTTATGACTGACCCATATGCCAAGTTTAGAAAGTGAAAAAGTAAATGTCTTGGTACTAAAATAACAACATTATTGGAAAGAATATATATATGTACATCTATGAAAGAACTTCTACCAATAAAAGTTCCTAGTTAGTGGGATATAGGATTGGAAGGTCTATGCTAACCAAACTATTGGCAGTCAGGTTAAATGTGGGGTGATCTTTTTGTAGTCCAAGGGTGGATGTGGACCCACCCTGAACCCCTTTATTTTGGGCTGGTTGGTGGTTTTTCACTAGCTGCATGCATGATTATATACTAGCACCTGGATATGCACCAATTTTTTTGTAATTTTTTAGTACAATTAAGAAAAATTCATTGAAAGCAACAAGAAGGGGACACAACCAATATACATGCACATTCTTATACATAGAGACACTCTTTTATTTGTGTTGTGTTGCTATGATATGCCAATTGGATTTTTAGCCTTTTGTTCTACCTAGTTTTTTTGTCTATATATACATTTTTTGATGTTGTTTTCACTTTCTAGACTAGTGAGGAAAATTAACACCAATAATTCATTTTGCAGGATGAGGTAAACAAACTAATTAGTACAACTCTAAGAGAACGGGAGAGTGATATTATACGGCTTTACTATGGCCTGGACAATGAATGTCTTACTTGGGAGGATATTAGTAGACGGTGGGTACACTATCCATTACATCTCTCAGGTGGAAAAATGTGCTCATATACTGACCACCTACTTAGAAAATGCTCTAGAGTTGATTCTATCATGCATGTTCTTGAAATAAAAGGAAGAAAGTCGATTTTCAGTTATATTATAGGAAAACACCTTTTTCAATGTCTTTTCATGTGGTCGGCACTCTAGAATCATGTCATTCAGATGAATTTTAGGTCTCTGATTAGTGCAACTTCTTGTATGTGATTTTGACATGATTTAAATTTCCATTTATAGAGATAGTAGCCAATCATCAAGGATATTTAATTATGCAGTTCATGTATAAGCTAGATCATGTAATTTGAACCTATGCATTGGTGCTTTATTGCAATTTCAAAGTCTTTTTTCCCTGCCTACTCATAGAAATACTTAACTACTTTTCCTCTTCTTTCTTTTTTTTAAATCAAAATTCAGTAGTTTTGATGATTTAATTTTGCCCGAACCTCCAGGATAGGTTTGTCCTTGTCCAGGGATAGAGTTAGGCATGTTGGACTCGTTGCACTAGAGAAACTAAAACATGCTGCGAGGAAGAGAAGGCTGGAGGCCATGCTGGTGAAACATTGATTTGGTATGTTTGTTGCAGAAAATAGAAATTGCATGTAAATATATATCGACAAAGTAAAGTTGGAATCTCCAATTTATTTTCTCTATCTTGGAATCTCCAGTGGAAATGAAATAAATTAGCATGTGTGATGAATATATGAGTATCTTATCTTTTCTTTACTTTTTTCCTTTCAGCATTAGAGTGATCTCTCGTCCATGGATATGCAGATTTTTTGTTGTTTCAGAGATTTAGAAATAATGTACAACTTGGGATTGATGCAATTTCTATATATGACTACTTTCAACCTCTCATGTTTTAATTTTGCCTAAATTACACCTTTTTTACTCAAGTACTCTAATCTAATTTTCACTTTGGCTCCTCATCTTCTAATTGCAACAATTAAGTTATTAAATTTTAATCCTTATTTTAATATAGTCCTTCCATCATCCCACCATTTGAAATTTGAGTGAAAGTTAAAATAAGATAGACTGAAGCGGAATTTAAGTGAAATTTGGAGGGTGAAAAGTTTAATTTGTCATACAATTTTTCTCTCTGTGACCCTAAATGTGCTCACATAGCTCTCATGTGATTGGAGGATCATATTCAAACTAGAGTTAAAATTTGAAAAATTAATTATTGAAATTAAAAGATGAGAGATTGAACTTAAATTTTGATCATGTTCAAGGGTACAAAGTGGAAGGAAGCATTCCAATTCATATGTTTGGTATGTTGGAATGATGTCTGAAATGAAATGGAACTTAAACTATATTCTGTTAAAAAAATGATTCCTTAGACATTTCGGTTAAATTTTGGGAAAATGACACTTTAGTGTAAATAAATTATTTTCAAATTTAATTGAGTTTTTGGAACTTATTTTTTGATTTTTGAATAATTAAAATAAGTTTGAAAAAAAAAATTAAATGCCAAAAAATATATTTTTGGATTTTCAAAAATATTTCTGTTCAAAAAAGAGAAAAACATATGAAAATAATTTGTTCATTATTATTTATATATTTTTCACCCAACTAATTTTTAAATTTTTTTCAAAAAAAAAAAAAAGGATTTTAAACTCAACCAAACATAGATGTGTTTGGATCTATATAAACGATGGTCATGGTATAAAAGAATACAATACAAAGAAAAAGGAATAGAAGTACGGGAAAAAAGGAAATAGAAGGGGACGGTGGAGGTGGAGGTGGAGGTGGAGGTGGAGGTTGGGAATGAATTTGAAGAGGAAGATATGGAGATTTAGAATTTGGGTTTGGATTTAGGATTTGAATTTTAAATTGTGGGTTTTGAATTAGAAATTAGTTTTATGAGTAAATCGGAAAAAATTACAAATGTTAAAGGTCAAAATGAGAGAAAAAAAAAAACCTAAAAGTCTATAAAACTGAAAAGGATAAATTACACTTACCTCCCCTAAGGTTTACCTTAATTACAGATACCTCCCCTATAATTTCAAAAATTACATTGACCTTCTTTGCTTTTGAAAATAATAGTCAGATTTCCCATTTTTGTTAAAAGAGCCTAAACAACGTTAACTTGACAATGGAATTGATCATAATACCCTTCAAACACATTGTGAAAAGACACAACTAACCCTTAATGTAAAAAACCCCTTTTATTCATTTTTCCTAGGATTCCCAATCAGAAAAACGAAATAAACAGAAAAGTGAGCAACGAAGGAACGGAAGAGAAGAAAGAGTAGTGATTTTGTCAAAGATCTGCTCCAATTATCTTTCACAGTGCAAAGCGTGAAAGATTTTAATCAGTTTATTTTGTTATTTAGGGCTTCTAAGTAAGTTCTTTAACAAATCTCTTCAATATTAAAATTTCTGGAAAAAAAATATTCAATACGCGGGTTTAGGGTTTACGAATGAAGGAATTTTAGAGTTTTGGGAGTTTTATTTGCGTAATTTTGAACTAATTTTTATGGTTTTAGAGTTTTATTTTTGGGTATTTAGGGTTTTTTTTTCTTCTTCTAGTTTTTAATCAAATATTGTAATTTTTGAATTACTAAACATTATTACCTACTAGATTTGGAGTATAAGAATGTTTGTTAGATTTTGTCAAATTATTATTGATTTAGGGTTTTTTTTTTTAGATTTTATTCAATGTTTATTGATTTAGGGTTTTATTATCTGTTTAATATTGTAAAAAATATATACGAATATTGTAATTTTTTGGATTATTAAACATTATTACTTAATATTGTGTATTATTCATTGATTTCAATTTGTTTATCTATTTCAATCATGCTAGCTTTGGAATTGGTTAAAATTGTTTTATTGAAATTTATTGAATTGGTTCAATCTATTTATATGTTCAAATTAAATGTTCTTTTATTACTATTTCAACCATGGCTACATTTCCTTCATTTGATTTAGTCATCCAATACAACGGTAAAGTGGGCAAAGTATACAATGTAGATCCTGATATGTATTGTCATGTTGATCTCTTGAAGGATGTACATGAATCAGTTCTTAGTAACATAGGTTTGAATGAGGCTCTTGTTATTCATTCGTACTATGATATACTTGGTACTGATAAGAGAAGAATGTTAGAAAATGATCTTGATGTACTGGATATGTTTTACATGCAAAGTGTGAGTAGAACAATTAACTTGTATGTAGATGTTGTTCATTCTATTGGATTTGAGGTAGAGAAGTTAATGATGGTGGGTGGAGAATGGTGATGGTGATGTTGAGGGGGATGATGAGTACCACATGGATGATTTTGTTGGCTTTAGTGGTGAAGACAAAGATTGGAATGAAAATATGGCTACTGAAAATGATTTTGATAGCACAAGTAGTGAATATATCTTAAGTGAAGATGATGACTTAGGTGAAGATGATGGTGCACTTAGTGATTATTAATCTGGAGATGATGCAATGGTCTATGATGTTAGTACTAATGATGATTTGGATGACGAATCTAATTATAGACCTAAGACGAGGAATTTCAAGGGAAAACAATTTTATTCTAGCTATGATGATAAAGATTCATATTTCAATCCACAAGGGGAAGTGGTATTGGAAAAGGGGATGATATTTGTAGATGTAAACAACATCAGAGTTGCACTCAAAGATTATAGAGTGGAAACTGGGTTCAAGATTGTTAGGGATAAACATAAGAAATCTAGGGTAACTGCCTACTATGCTACTGATGGATGTCCTTGAAGGATTCATACATCTCCTTTTCCAGATGGGATAACTTACAAGATAAAAACCCTAGTTCCCAGCACACATGCAGTAGGTTGAACCAAAATACTAAGGTGTAGACCAAACTTTCTTCGTGCGCCCCCCCCCTTTTGGAGAGGCCTGAATTGGTCTCCTACAGTTCAGACTCCTGTCACGGTTCTGAATCTAATCTCACAAAGTGCAATGTGAGACCGATAAACACCAAAGAGTCCAATCCGGCAAATCATTTTGGAAAATCAGATTTTGAAACAAATAATGCCAAAAATGGACTGTTTTGCCAGATTATAGAGTCGCCACCTAAATATTTTATTTTGAGAAATTTAGGAAACCCTGACTCGTGCCAAAGGCCACGTGTCCGTCATCACCAAAGTTGCCTCAGCTCGAGAACTTGGGTATAAGAGGGGAAGGTCTTGAAATGAGCACCCCCGCTCGCCTAATCAAAGGATCGGCCTCTACTACCATGATATGTTGTTTTATAAATCTCATGTCTTCTTATCCGATTATTAATCTAACTTTACTATGTGACGCACACATACAAGTATAGACTAAGTCATAAGATTTGGAACAAATCAACTCAAGTTTGTTTTAGAAAATGGTTTGAAAGTGTCATTCACAAGTGGGCTAAAACACAGTGTAGACATCCCATTTTTGACCGTCCTCAAGACTTGGATATGCTTGCAGGTACATCCAATGACAAGTTTGATTGCTCGTCAAGTACTCGAATTTTGCTGCAGAATGTCACAGGTTTGAGCTTTCCAAACCTTGTGTCCTTTCTGCTTCATTTTTGGACCACGTGTTGGTCCTTTCAGCATGATTCTTGTGGTGCACTGCCGGCCTTTTTTTGGCATTGCCGGCCATCAATTTAGCCCTGCCGGCTATTGATGAGGCCTGCCGACAATCAATGAGGCACTGTCGGCCACCATGTTTTAACAGATATTATTTTAGATCTTTTGAGCCAGTTGTGCCTCACTGAGCCATCCTCCATACACGTGTATGGAGGGATGGAGGCAAGTTTAAGCTTGTCAAGCAAGCTTTTGCTTGCATTGCTTATATAAGGGGAGGGCCCTCTCCTTATCCTGAGGTTGAGAAAATTTGGAGACAAAATCTCTTTCTCTCTGTAGAATTCTCACTCTCTCTCTCTCTATATTGTGCTCAATAGTGCCTTACAGTGTGTTTTCTTCGCAATTTTGCAAAGGAACACCTAGTCAAACACCATTACCTTGGAGCTGAGGTTTTTGAAGGTTTGTTTGGAACTTAAAAGGCTAGTTTTGGCTCAGAGGAAGACCTGCCTTGCTACTGTGCTTCAAGGGTGAGCATGTTCCCCTTTTAAGCTTATTTTTGTATATCATGTTAGCCACCTTTGCATGCTGTTTTAGGCTTGGTTGTTAACTACAAAAAGCTCTGATTTTAAGTGTTAAAAATGTTGGTTTGACTCCTTGTTGGAGTTTGGGATGGTCTACCCTCTTTCTTTGCTTATTTGTTAAGCTTTTAAGCCATCCTTTGAAGCTTTTGTAATAGCCTTTGCATGACCTTTCTACCACTGAAACTCAAAGGAATTTCAGTGGTGGAATGGTGGTTTTGAGGTCCAAAATGGGAGGGGGTGGTCCCCTCTCCTCTTGTCTTGCTTGCTTGTGTTGTTGGCCTATCAAACGAGCATGTGTTTCTACTCTTTTGTGACTTAGTTCGAGAATTTTTTTGGCTTTGTTTTGACATGATTTAACTCAGTTTTTGGGTGTTTGGGTCACCTCTTTCTTGCTTTTGGTACTTGTAGTGCAATCATGTTTGTTGGCCTAACATGCTTCATGCTTTAGTTCATTTCTAGCATGTATTAGCTTTGCTCCAGCACATTTTTGCCACTAATTTAACATGCTTAAGGTCTGTTTTAAGTGGTCTTGGTCATATATGCTTAGCTTTGTATAGCTATAGTGTAGTTGGGCTTCACTAGCTTTGTGTTTGAGGTCCCTAACATGCTTTGAATTAGATGATTGCATGCCTTAACCTCATTTCTCACATGATTTCAGTGTATATAGCATGGTCACACTCTCACATGTTCCACTCTTTCAATGCTTTTGAGAGATGTGCCTTATGCCTTGTTTGTGAGCCAAT